GAGGCCCCCCCGACGGATGCTACAACTGGGGTGTGCGTTTGTGTGCGTTGTAGCATCCGTTGGGGGGCCTCTTGGGGCCCTCTTGGGGGCCTCTGGAGGCGGTGGTGGAGCCCGCAGAGGGGTCCAAGAGAGCCTCGGAAGGAGCCCAAGAGGGCCCCAAAAAGACACCCGACGGACGCTAGAACCGGGGGGGTGCGTTGTGGCATCCGTTGGGTGCCCTCTTTGGAGCAATCTTGGGGCCCTCTTGGAGTCCTACTGGGGCGCTCTGAAGGCGCGGGGGGAGCCCGCAGACGGCCCCGATGGGGCCCCAAGACTGCCCCAAGAGAGCCCCAAGAAGGCACCCGACGGATGCTACAACACGGGGGGCGTTGTAGCATCCGTCGGGGGCCATCTTGGGGCCTCTTGAGGCCCTCCGAAACCGCACTGGAAGGCCCTGGAAGGCCCCGAGAGGGCCCCAAGATGACGCCAAGAGAACCTCAGGGTCCAACAACCTGTCACAAAACACCTCGTTCGTGACAGGCTATTGGCTCCTCTTGGAGCCCTGTTGAGGCCCGTTGAGACCGCGCTGGAGGGCCCTGGCCCTAAGAGAGCCCCAAGACGGCCGACAGCGGGCCCCAAGGCGGCCCCAAGGGGGCCCAAGGGACAGCCACGTGGGCCTCTCGTGCATGACAAGTTTTGTAAACGACCACTCTTGTATATGACACGTCTCGTATACGACTACTATTATAGATGGCCCCTCGGATCCAGAATAGGCCCGACCACTGACAGATTTTGCGGATGTCTCTGCCGGAGGACCTCTGGCCAGAATCCCACCAGGCTTCTGGGCGCAACTGGTCTACAGCGTTTGCTATTCCATCGTCCTTTTTCCCCTTTGTGGATGGGTTTGCCCCTCCCTCTCCCCCTCTCCCCCTGGGTCTGGACGGGGGGGCGGGGAGGCGCTGGAGCGTCCAAGTTGGCCCAAGATGGCTCCAAGATGACTTCAGAGAGCCCAGGGTGACATCCAGGGTGGGTTAAGATGGCTCAATATTGTTGCCAATATGCTTCAAAATGCCAAAAGATCGCCCCAAGACGGGTTCAAATGGCTTTGGGGCCTCCAGAGGACGCCCCCAACAGGCCACAACCTTTCCCAAACCTAAATGTAATCGGTGTTGTTTGACTTCTCGCCTTGTCGCTTCCGGGAAGCCTCAAGACGGTTCCAAGATGGCCCAAGGCCCAGGAGGGCTCCAAGACAGCTCCAAGAGCGCCCTAAAAGCCTAAGAGGGCCCCAAGAGGCGATTATAAGGGGCTTTCGAGGTGCAGGGCAAATTATCCCCGCTGTGTGAGCAACACATACTTTTAACACCACGTTGGCTTTAAATGATGTTTGCTTATCGGAGGTATCTTTGGGAGGCGTTTGGCCCAAGGGGGCTCCAAGATGGCCCCATATGCTTCAAGATGGCATCAAAGATGGCGCAAGATGGCCTCCAAGATATCATGACGCTCTAAGACGGGTGCAAGTGGCCCCAAGAGGCCCAAATCCTTCCCAAGCCTTGATCTAATCAGTGAGTTGGGCCTTCTCGCAGGCTCGCTTCCGATAGCCTATACCTCAAGATGGCTCCAAGAGGGCCCAAGAGAGGCCCAAGAGGGGCCCAAGAGGCCTCCGAGACAGCCCCAGGAGCGCCCAAGAGTGCCCCAAGAGGCGATCTTAGGGACTGTAGACGGGCAGCGCTAATTGACCCCCCCGATCTTTGATCAACACACACACACACATTGAGAACACACACACACACAGGTTTGATTGTGTTTAGCTTTTCGGGGGCCTCTGTGGGAGCCTTGTGGCGCAATAGAGCTCCAAGGTGACCCCAAATGCTTTAAAATAGCTGCAAATACGACGCAATCCGGCCACAAAGTATCCAAGACGGCCTCCAATATGCCTTCAAGAAACACCATGATGGTCCCAAGATGGGAACAATTGGCAATGGAGACTTTCAATGACGCCCAAGAGAAACCCAAACCATTTCGCGAACCTAAATAACATTAATGACGTGTGCCGTCTCGCTTGTTCGCTCCCGATGGGGTTCTGAAGCCCCAAGATGGCTCCACGATGGCCTAAGAGGGCCCAAAGAGATGCCCAATATGGCCCCAAGACAGCCCCAAGAACGCCCAAGAGCGACCCACGAGGCGACTTTGGAGGCTCAAGAGGGGCAGCGCTGATTGAGGGCTCCCACTTCCGAGATCGATGTCCTCCAAGATGGCCCAAGAAAGGCATCCACGGCCTCTCAAAGAGCTGCAAAATTGCCTCAAGAAGCGCCCAAGAGGCCCCCAAGAACACAATGAGAGGCCCCTTAAGCGGCCCCAAACAGGCCCCAAGATCCCCCCCCAGAAGCACATACATATGCCTAAAGAGGTCCCCAGGGCCGCCAAGAGAGGCCCCCAAGACGCCCCAAGAGGCCTCCACGGAATGCCCAAGAGATATCCCTAGAGACTCCGAAACGCATCCAAGAGGCGTATGTCCCTCATGCTCGCCCTCCTCCTCCTCCTCCTCATTCTCCCCCTCCTCATCCGCCAATGACTCCTCCTTCTCCCTCCTCCCTCATCCCTCATCCATCCCCCTGTTCCTTCGAACGATAACGGCTACCCCTTCTTTGCTCTCACGCTTCTTTGATTACCTCAACTCGCCTGGGCATCGTTTCTGGATGGACTGGTTGGGGATACGCGAAGCGTCAATCAGTTGTTCTGGCCACAGCAGGACATTTTTGGAAATACGCATACGACGCGCACCACACACATGCAGAGGTCTGTACATATGTGTACACACGTCGTGCACTATATGTGATACAGTATGCGTGTAGCACGATCTATATGGTGCAACATTGTTGGTGTCATTCGTCAGTGCTGCTATATACGGGGACCATACGTTCGGTGCAATCTACGTGATGCAGCCAACGCGTTGTCTTACATGTCGTGCAATATACACGGTGCTGTCCATATGTATATGTTGCGATATACACATACATACAAACATTGTCTGCGTCTGTACATGTGCACATACTATATGTGTGTGCGTGTCTACACACATGTGGCACAAACAGCGGGATGCAATCGACGCGGTGCAATGGGACGCAGCTTTTGGTATGCAACATATGCTACGCATTGAATGTGATGTGGTCTATGATCTGCAATCTGGGTGGTAATGTGATGTTTCGACCTATAGTGTGCTCTCGGTTGGATGTGATGTACATGTGTGATATGTGCGCGGTCCAGAGTGCAACCTTCGTCATCACCACGTCATCATCGCAGCCAATCCATCGCACGCCGCCGCCACGCCATCATCATCACGTCATCGGCACGTCATCATCATCACGCCATCATCGCCTCGACGTTATCATTGCCTCATGAATCACGTCGTCATCTTCGCACCCAAATAATGGTCACGCCGTCATCAAAACTACGTGAAGAACCAAACCGGTTTGATTTTGCGCACTGAGCAAGAGTTCATCGATCTGGCCTTGGAAACCCACCGAATCCAATGAGGCTGACCCCCCGGGGGGGGGGTCAGCCTCATTGGAGACGGCCGGATCGCAAGACCAGAACGATCGACTGTTGCGTTCGGCAGAGAAACCAATGAGGCTGACCCCCCTGGGGGGGGGGATTCCCCTCATTGGTTTCTCTGCCGAATATCATCAAACATCCTATTGCACAACAAAGACGCAGGGTATCCCTGTAGACAGAAGTGATTCGCGGCCCTCTCCCAACTATCACGCGAACGGTTCAGACCTTCCCAAAATAGCCGACTGCGGGGTGCACGATGTTGCCCCAGGTGCTCTGATGCGATGTCACAGTCGCTTGCCTACATGCCTGCCCCGATGGAAAAATTAGCCAGGTGCGGGGACGGAAGTGTTTTCCGATGAAACAGCGACGCCACTAGCGGCAGCGGTGGCCGCGGTGACATCAGAACTGGCCAAGGCTGATGCCCTGGTGATTCAGGCCAAGCCTGTTGCCACGCTGCTGCAGCAATGCCATCCCGTCTAGGCGGCGCGCCTGCTCGTGATGTGAGGGCCCAACGTTCGGCGGCGAGCCCTGGCAACGCCTGACCTGTCGTAAGCCTCTCAACAACCGTGGTGCCGTGATTGAGGTGCCGTGCGGAGCACGGGTCGTCTGTCCTTGAAGCTACTGCGGCATTGATCTGTGGGCGGTTGTGCCGACAACGCGCTGCTCAGTCTGCTGGGTGCAGCTGCTGCCGCAAGTCGACGAACCTCAGCGGCCGAGACCAGGCCGTCCTGCTCGGCCCCGACGGCGCAGAACGTGCCGGTGCCCTCGCGCAAGATGCCCCTCCTCCACCGCGCCGTGGCCGAGCTCGGACTGCCGAGTCGCCTTCCTGCTCGGTCCTCGTCGCGCGTCTCCGTGCGCATTGGCGCACGAGCAGGGCACCGCTCGGCTGGAGCCCCCGGGGGCACGACAAGGTGGCGGCAGCTGCACGTCCGGCAACATCCGCTGCACCCAGTTGCTGGAGCGAGGGGAGAGATGCCGCGAGCGCCAGGAGGGAGCGACGGAGGGGTGTGGACGATGGAGGAGCTTTTGGCATCGCTCGGACGTCCATTCGCTGTGTATTTGTTCGATGTCGTGCGTGCCTTGTTTCGCAAGATGATCCCAACGTCTCCTCGATGGTCCTCGCCGAAGAAAACGTGCACGCGTCCGGGCGATGCCCAGGGAAAGAAGAGGCACACGGGAGAGGAAGCGTGAGAGCCGCAACAACAAGTGCTGTTATCAAGACGGGGGCCGGACACAGAAGGGCTGGGAGAGAGCACGAGAAGCAGGCAGCCGAGGATGGGGGGAGGAGAGGGAGGAGCAGGAGGATGAAGATGAGGTGGACGTGCTGGAAATAATGGGAAGTCAAGCAGGCAAGAGGGAGCGCGAGGAGGACGAGCTCAGTGAAAAGGAAGAGGGTAACACGAATTACCATTGTGGATCTGGAGAATAGAATGTCAAGCAGCAGCAGCAGCAGCAGCAGCAGCAAGTGCCTGCACGGTTGGTGTACATGGGCAGAAGCGGCGGAAGTTTGCGTCTGCGCCCGCTGCACTGCATGTCGGATATGTCGCACTTGTTGGATAATTGCAGCGCCCATCGGGCGTGTAGGTGTAAGGTGCGAACTCCCAATCGCCACCATAGTTCGTATACTGATCGCACGAATGTCCCAAGAGAGAACTAACAATTGAAACGGCCGCTTCGGTCGTAGGCCAGTCAGCTGAAGCGTCGCATGAGCTGCCCGACGCACTGCAGGCTTCGTCGCAACTCTCACCACCTCCACTGAGGATCCACGTCGTAACCTCTTGGGGCGCTCTCGAAACGTCTCAGGGCGTCCTGGGACACACGGGTGGGCTGTCTTTTTCCCAACCATCCTGTGGTGTTGGGCCCTCGTTTTGAAGAGACCGCGCCGCGCGTCACTCCTCTCGTCTCCTCCTCCTCCCCCATCCTCCCTCCTCCCATCCGCCTCGTCACCTCCCTGCGTTTCACCCACCCAGTGCAGCGCTTCGTGGCCCCATAGGGAGATCCACCGAAGGCTCTAGTGGCACAGGCCGCATGCGTCAACGCCACCCAGGACAGCGTTTCGTGGCCCCGTAGGGAACTCCACCGAAGGCTCCAGTAGCACAGGCCGCATGCGTCAACGCCACCCAGGACAGCGCTTCGTGGTCCCATAGGGAGCTCCACCGAAAGCTCCAATGGCACAGGCCGCATGCGTCAACGCCACCCAGGACAACGATTCGTGGCCCCATAGGGAGATCCATCGAAGTCTCCAGTGGCACAGGCCGCATGCGCCAACGCCACCCAGGACAACGCTTCGTGGCCCCATAGGGAGCTCCACCGAAGGCTCCAGTGGCACAGGCCGCATGCGTCAACGCCACCCATGACAGCGCTTCGTGGCCCCATAGGGAGATCCATCGAAGGCTCCAGTGGCACAGGCCGCATGCGTCAACGCCACCCAGGACAGCGCTTCGTGGCCCCATAGGGAGCTCCACCGAAGGTTCCAGCCGCACAGGCCGCATGCGTCAACGCCACCCAGAACAGCGCTTCGTGGCCCCATAGGGAGATCCACCGAAGGCTCCAGTGGCACAGGCCGCATGCGTCAACGCCACCCAGGACAGCGCCTCGTGGCCCCATAGGGAGCTCCAAGGATCCAGTGGCACAGGCCGCATGCGTCAACGCCACCCAGGACAGCGTTTCGTGGCCCCGTAGGGAGCTCCACCGAAGGCTCCAGTGGCACAGGCCGCATGCGTCAACGCCAGCCAGGACAGCGCTTCGTGGCCCCATAGGGAGCTCCACCGAAGGCTCCAGTGGCACAGGCCGCATGCGTCAACGCCACCCAGGACAACGCTTCGTGGCCCCATAGGGAGATCCATCGGAAGCTCCAGTGGCACAGGCCGCATGCGCCAACGCCACCCAGGACAGCGCTTCGTGGCCCCATAGGGAGCTCCACCGAAGGCTCCAGTGGCACAGGCCGCGTGCGTCAACGCCACCCACGTCAGCGCTTCGTGGCCCCATAGGGAGATCCATCGAGGGCTCCAGTGGCACAGGCCGCATGCGTCAACGCCACCCACGTCAGCGCTTCGTGGCCCCATAGGGAGCTCCACCGAAAGTTCCAGCGGCACAGGCCGCATGCGTCAACGCCACCCAGAACAGCGTTTCGTGGCCCCATTGGGAGCTCCACCGAAGGCTCCAGTGGCACAGGCCGCATGCGTCAACGCCACCCAGGACAGCGCTTCGTGGCCCCATAGGGAGCTCCACCGAAGGCTCCAGTGGCACAGGCCGCATGCGTCAACGCCAGCCAGGGCAGCGTCTCGCGGCCCCATAAGGAGCTCCACCGAAGGCTCCAGTGGCCAGGCCCATGCGTCAACGCCACCCAGGACAGCGTGGCCCCACCGAAAGTGGCAAGCCGCGCGGCCACCCCCGTTGGCCCCCGAAGGCTCCAGTGGCACAGGCCGCATGCGTTAACGCCACCCACGATCCTTCCGTGGCCCGCATCAACGGGACAGCGTCCACCGAAGGCTCCAGCGGCACAGGCCGCATGCGTCAACGCCACCCAGAACAACGCTTCGTGGCCCCATAGGGAGCTCCACCGAAGGCTCCAGTGGCACAGGCCGCATGCGTCAACGCCACCCAGGACAGCGCTTCGTGGCCCCATAGGGAGCTCCACCGAAGGCTCCAGCGGCACAGGCCGTATGCGTCAACGCCACCCAGGACAGCGCTTCGTGGCCCCATAGGGAGCTCCACCGAGGGCTCGAGTGGCACAGGCCGCACGCGTCAACGCCACCCAGGACAGCGATTCGTGGCCCCATAGGGAGCTCCACCGAAGGCTCCAGTGGCACAGGCCGCATGCGTCAACGCCACCCAGGACAGCGTTTCGTGGCCCCATAGGGAGCTCCACCGAAGGCTCCAATGGCACAGGCCGCATACGTCAACGCCATCCAGGATGACATTTCGTGGCCCCATAGGGAGCTCCACCGAGACCGGTACCCACAATGCGGCACTCGCAACTGCATATTGCTGTCCTTCGCCAGGGTAATTTTTACGGGCGCAGCCCGTCGTTCGATTTTCGGGAAATAAACAGAACTGACACAACTGAACTGAATCACCAAAATCGTTAGATGCCAGTTTTATTTCCGGGAGTGCGGATATTTCGCTGGCAGTTTTAGGCCAGAGGGTTGAGGACATCTCGCTGGCAGTTTTGTGCAAGGAGGTGAGGATATTTCGCTGGCAGTTTTTAAGCGTGGGGTGCGAGGATAGTGCGCCAGCAGTTTCAGGCCAGGGGGTTGAGGATATTTCGCTGGCAGTTTTAGGACAGGGGCGTGAGGATATTTCGCTGGCGTTTTAGGTCAGGGAGTTGAGGATAACTCGCTGGCAGTTTTAGGCCACGGCGTGAGGATATTTTGCTGAAGGGTGTGAAGATGCGTCGCGGCTGGCAATTTTAAGCGAGGGGTGGAGATATTTCGCTGGCAAGTATACGTCAGGGGAGTGAGGATATCTCGCTAGCAGTTTTAGGTCAGGGGGTGAGGATATTTCGCTGAGGGGTGTGAGGATGTATCGCTGGCAGTTGCAAGTCAGAGGGTTAAGGACATATCGCTGGCGCCTCAAGGACAGGGAGTGAGGATATTTCGCTGAGGGGTGTGAGGATATTTCGCTGCTGGCAGTTTTAAGCGAGGGGGTGAGGATGTGTCGCTGGCAGTTGTCAGTCAGGGGGTTAAGGATATCTCACTGGCAGTTTTAGGCCAGGGGTGCGGATCTTTCGCTGAAGGGTGTGAGGATGTTTCGCTGGCAGTTTGAAGCCAGGGGGTTGAGGACATTTCGCTGGCAGTTTTGGGCAAGGGGGTGAGGATATTTCGCTGGCAGTTTTAGGCTAGGGGTGCGAGGAGAGTTCGCTGGCAGTTTGAGGTCAGGGGGTGAGGATATGTCGCTGGCAGTTTTAAGCCAGGGCGGTGAAGATACGCTCTGGACGCAACCAAGCAGCACCATGTGCCACGCACTGGCGGTCAGGAGTGATCGGCGGATTCGTTGGTTTGGGGTGCGGGGCGCATCGTGTAACCACAGCGTTGGACTATGGATCACGTTCGACATCGGGTTGAGGCTCAATTCGTTGGTCTGGGGTTCGGGGCGCACCATGCAGCCACAGCGTTGGAATCTGGATCACAATCGACATTGGGCTGAGGATCAATTGGCTATGCCTGCGGCTTTGCCTGCCCGCAGCCGCACGCGCGCTCAAACACGCTTTTTCATTAGGGAACGCAGCGTGCTTACTACCACGTCTTGGGCACCACGCTTACCTGCTCGGACCAGGGGGAGGCGCAGGACGAGGAGGGCGAGGTGTAGGACGAGGGAGGAGGCGGAAAACGAGGAGGGAGTAGGAGAGGGAGGGGGCGGCGGAAGGAGGAGTCGGAGGAGCTGGACGACAAGGGGGGGATGGATGAGAGGAAGGGCGGAGGGGCGAGTTGTGGGCAGGGCCTGAAAATAGTCGCGGTCGGTGCGGGCATCCACGCGTCACGCGATGCAGTGTTGGGTCTTCACTTGCCTGGCCCAGCCGAATGCGTTGCATCCAGCGCGGTGGTGCGCCCGTATCTATGCTCGCCCCTTGGCGTGGGGCTGGCGGGAGGCCAATGGGCGAGCTGTCCGGTGATTGCCCCCCACATCCTGAGTTGGATTTTTGTTTTCTCTGGACACCTCGCGCAATCCTCACCCACACCCTGCCCTCTTCACACCCACTCTTCCTGTCATTGTCATCATCGTCATAATCATCACCAAAACCAAGGATAACATCATCACCAACAACCATCATCAAACTCACCATCATCATCATCATCATCACCACCACAATCCCATGATGATCATCAACCCTCATCGTCCTCCACCCACTATGTCACTCAATAACATCCATTCATCACTCAATCGTCATCATGTCAGAATCCCATCATGATCGTCGGCCATCAGCAGCACACACCACCATCGTCATCATCATCACCATCCCATCCTGATATTCGACCAAGAGGGGCCTTGTCTGCAAGTGAATTGAGGATAAATCTCAAGCGGGAGACCCCTCCCTATGGGGCCCGCTCTTCATGTTGGTAATACGAACATGTCATCAAAATCCTGTTACTGTACTTACTTTTTGGCCCCTCTCGCCTGAATCTTGAAGAAACCTCAGGCGGGAGCCTCGTTTGTGAGTGACTTGCGAGGACGTCTCAGGCTGAACCCCCTCCCTATGGGGCCCGCACTTCATGTTGGTAATCCGACCGATCCATCCAAATCCTGTAGGCTGTTGGACCCGTCACGCCTGAATTTTTAAAAAGCCTTAGGTGGGAACCTCAAATTTCAGGCAGGAGCCCGGCCCCGCACTTCATGTTGGTAATCCGAGCGGGTCATCCAAATCCTGTATCCTTCGTCACTGCTAATCCCCTCCCGCCTGAATTGAAAGAGGCCTCAGGCGGGAGCCTCGTTTGTGAGTGAATTTCAAGGAATTCTCAAGCGGGAGCCCCCTCCCTATGGGGCCCGCTCTTCATATCGGCAATCCGAGCGGGTCATCCAAATCCTGTAACTGTCGTCACTTTTAGGCTCCTCGCGCTTGAACAGTCGTCACTTTTTGGCCCCTCTCGCCTGAATCTTGAAGAAACCTCAGGCGGGAGCCTCGTTTGTGAGTGACTTGCGAGGAAGTTTCAGGCGGGAGCCTCCTCCCTATGGGGCCCGCACTTCATATAGGTAACCCAAGCGGGTCATCCGAATCCTATAGTTGTCGTCACTTTTTGGCCCCTCACACCTGAATCCGCCGACCCCTTGCGGGTAT